GAGTGACGAATTGAACAAGTCAGTGCAAGGTAGCGAAGCTCTGAGACTGCGACTCTCAGGTTATTACAAGTTCAAAATGTATTGCGACCACAAAGCGAATACCAACATCCTACAACTTACACAATTTTATAAACATATATAATAATTTTTTTACTTCATAGGTACTTTTATAAATAATGTATATGTTTTGATATTATAAGATAGTATGATGTAAATAAATAGGTACTATCAGTGTATGTGTTGAGATCCACTATCGTGGACCCCCATATTCATTTCATGGACCCCAAATTTTTTTTCGCTGACGTAGACCCCTTGCAGGATGTCATAGACCCCTAGGAGTCGATATAGACCACTTTGGGAATCAGTGAGTTAGTGGGTATACAAAATGTTACGTCTCTTCATATTGTGGTTTAGAGGTGATGCTGACAGACTGGATAGACAATCACATTAATATATATGGAAAAAGACACTGTACCACACAGCATTAGAGTTTACTACAGGGTGTCCGGTGGCAGAATTCGAATTTTAAAATCAAATGTTTTCGTAACCGTTAGGCAAGGAAGCAGGGAAGGGGCCGCACTAGCTTCGTCATTCCTCATTTGTGCGGGTTTTTAGTCACAATGTCGCATTGGACGGGAGAACAAGCCGGGTTCGCAATTGAAGCATATATTATTCAACGGCGAATGAATCGTGTGCAACTGCTCGACAATTTTGTTCACGGTACAATATTCGACAAAAACATGATACTCGGAGTAGTAAATAACCGATTCGTTCGTGGGTGCGGAAATTCCGAGCAACAGGATGAGCAGCAAACAACCCGCACCTTAGCTCTTAAAGAAAATATCCTTCGCGAGGTTAATGCTATCCGACAATCACTGCAGCGAGTGACACGAAATTCTGAGGCGAGATTTTCAGAGTGTGTCCAACGTCATGATCAACATTTAGATGACATGATTTTTAAGAAACAAAATCCGCACTATCCTTCTTTATAATAATTGTCGAAATAGATGTTTTCCTTTGTAGTTTTTTTTAATTTAGATTTTAAATCTGAATTCTGCCACCGGACACCCTAGAAACTAGATAACAGATTAATGAACCTTACCCGCATAGCAGCATTAAAGATTATATGACAAATAGCCCAAAAACTATTTATTCGGGGTATTCTACTTCAAGTGAAGCAAAACACCTAACAAATCTAAATCATTAATCAAGAAAATGAATGTAGAAATGTAGTAAATACGCGATGCAAATGCCCTATTAGAATACCCTTATTCATTTCAGGCTAGCGAGTCAACGACTGAGCGCTTCCGCGCCTGACACCTCAGGTCAAATTCCATTTGTCAGTCGTTTTTGGATTGTAGCCACTGAAATAAATATTTCAGATTGATTTCCCAAGGTAGCTTATGTGCTATTCCAAACTATAATTTAGACGTGATTGAGTAACAAACACACACTCTCTCACTTATTATATTAATATATAGTAGGGGTGTCAGCGTTGCGTAGGAAGTGCAGAGTCAACTTACTTGAGGGTTTTTTTTTCATATTATTTTTAGGATTTGACAATGGCATAGTTTGCACTGTTTCATATATTGAATCGCATATATGCCGAAAGTCATAGACAGAGAGAAGCTCATAAGAACCTTTATTTAACGAAATTAGACAAACAATCTACAAAAGATGTTCGGTGCGAATTCAATTTGTTTAAGAAATTAATAATTTTTGGCGCTTTTTGAACCAGGCAACCTGCCCGTTCGTTAAAGAGGGTCCTTTTTGAATAAGATTATGCAAAAAATGAATCAGAATATTTTCCGAGCTGATGTGAAAATACTTCATAGGCTATTAACTTGTTTACATTTCTCTGATATAGAAGTTCTTTGTACACCAATCGACGTCGTCTTGTTTGAGTGTTCCTCTGTCGCTTTTAAAATCTTGTAGCTTGTATACAGACTCCTCCTTAGAAATAGCGCCCAACATATATGAGACATAATTTTCAATTGTATAATCTGGTTTAAAATAAGTTTCAGGCCTTCACAGTTATAGCTTCGAACAAGCGTACGCTTTGTAAAATATCATTCTGTATGTCCTAAAGCAGATCCTGATGCCGCAATCAGTAATTGTTACCAAGGTACTCGAAATGCAATGGAAACTAACTGTAGCTGTAGATTTTGTTGAAATTGTTCCATTGCCGGCATAACAAGCCAATTAGCGCTAAAATAGAATGCAGAGTGGATCTTTCGCGTTCGCAGTCTCCGGTCGCCAGCGTAGCCAGCAAAAATTTGACAAACGATGCATCCATTCAGGCTACGTTCCTCTATTATGGGCATCGTTACAAAGCCGGCAAGAGTGCTCTGAAACTCATTTAAATTTTTCCCGGTTCGCAATTTTTGCTGAACGACAATTAGCTGGGCTGGGATGAAACTGGGAAAATTAACTATGCTGCTTCGCCGCAGGTAGCGGCACAATATGCCATTGAATACTCTCTTATTTTCAACAGGAAAATGACAAAAGCATATACTAATTTACAGTAAAGAAACTGAATGATTCTGCTATTGACAGTCGACCCACAATATCTTTTACAGCTTTTTAGTTTTAGACCAGGAAATGCCGTTTTTGCCAAGAGAGTTGCAGAGACAGCAAACCATTGGTCGTTTCAGATGATATTTTGTATCTACTGAGGCAGCCGCGTAGGCAGAAACCTAATAACTGGAACATCACAACTGCTATAAGGAGCTCAAAGACACCTTGTCAAGACTGCCTAAGGTTCGCAGAACTGGTAAAAACCTCCTTATGCATATTGTTCCACAATATCGACACTCTAGGATCAAAGGAGTAGTCGTACCGGCCAGTTCTGGATGTATGAAATTCGATAGAGTGGGGATGGGAAGCAGAAGCTTGGCGGATCCGTCTAGCAGGAGATTGTTTTTATGTAATAGAAACATGAGCGCCCATTAGGACAGGAAAGACGGGACATACGGTGACATTCAGGAATAAGACCGTAAGATGACTGCTCTTGGCGGTCGACATCAACTAAGCATCTGGTTCAGACTTGATTTCTGTCGTCGTATTCAAGGGATGTGCAGCGGAGCTTGCTCCACTTCTTTCGTTATAAATAAGGCAATGGAGAGGTGCATAAATCGTACATCACGGCTTAATTGGTGACGGGCAGTATACTTTTCGGCACCAGCGATCCACAGGGGACCTCCTAGCTTACTCCACGCAACTGTGGAGTAAGCTCATCCAGTTTTACAGTAAGGCTCATGTCTTGATGTCAAGAAAGCGTTCGATCAGCTGTGACATGCTGCCCTCTACTGAAAACTTCCATCCGATAGCCTTCCAGGGAAGCTTTGCAGATGGGTGGCTGACTTCTTCTCTGGCTGCAAGATATCCGTCGTGATTGACGGGTTCTCCTCGTCATTCCACAACGTCAACGCCGGTGTTCCCCAGGGATCGGTCTTGGCTCCGACATTGTTCCTTGTTTCATTCTTCCTGTTTCATTTCAACGACATCCTTCAGGAGTTCAGAGTAACAAGCCAATCTTTTCCGGTGAGCTGGAGAAGAGAAGACCTGGAGGTTATGACTGCTTGGGGATGGAACAGTCTTGTAGACTTTGGTGCTTCTAGAACACGGTACTGTACCTTGACGGACAAGAAGTGTCCTAGCGCTCATCCGGTTTCGATGGATGGCCATGTTCTACCAAAGAGACGTTCATTTCGGCTGGTCGAAGTCCAGATCACCGAGGACCTAATCTGACATGAACACATCTTGTCAATAGCTTTTGGGAAAAAGCTTAGACTAGTTGTTTAGGGCTAATAAGTTCCTTTCTCCACATGACCACTTCACTTTGTACAAGGCCTAGATAAGTCCCAGCCTCGAGTACTGCTCACATATCTGGGGCCGCCCCGACTACACTATTCATGCTCGATGCTGTCCAACAGATCGATAACTCCTCTCTAACGGACAGTCTCGGGACCGTTTCGCACCGGCGGGCCGTCGGCGATCTAGCTCTCTACCGCTACACCAAAGCGCTTTGTTCCTCGGAGCTGGCCTCCATGATGCAGCCGCGCGATCTGCCTGCCAGACAGACTCACATGACTACGGCCTCCCACCCTAACCGTGTCCAACTTCATACATTCTGAACCGACCGCTTCTTTGTCCCCAGGGAGTCGAGATTGTTGAACAATCTACAAGAGGAGGCTTTTCCCAGTTCTACTAACCTTAGGCAGATCAAAAATGGGATGAACAAAGTTTCTTTAAGTTCCTCATAGGAGCCGCGGAGCCATGGCGCTTAGGCTTCTGCCTTAGGTGTGAAAAAAATTATGAATAGGTTTAATCACCACAACTGAGGAATCAAATCCATTTCCTCCACTTTTTATAGGATTTCCGTAATCGAACAGAGAAAGAGGGGTGAATCAGTCGGTCTAAGCCTTCTCCAATCTTAAAGGATTGTGAGGTTATATACGATAGTTATATATAATGTGATATGTCGTGCTGGGGCAAAGGCAGAGTCATGTTCCTTTCTTCTCTCGAAGTGGAAGTCCATTTTCAAGATGAATCGATCATTTCAAAAACCACTTAAATCATATTTTATACCATGTTTTTTCTTGCTAAACCCACTTTTTTTAAATGGAGATGCGTAGTATGTGTATAATCCACGTAAGTCAGTACATTCCCCCCTCTTCAAATAAGTCCGCGTAATAGACGTTCACTGCAGAAAGTGTGAGTGCATCTCAACATCCGAAACGTATCCCAAAGTTATCTCACTGATCAATCTTCATATTCAGCTTTCTACCAAATAAAACCACAAACATAGAACTAAAAGTTTACTAACGTTTCTGCCACCGAGGTGACCTTTCTTAAAGTGCAATGTATTGTCATTGTATTGTGAATTGAATCGGTCATTTCGAAAATCAATATTTCCTCCAGAACGCTGCTGAAAGATATTGCAAAACATGCCAAATTGAAACACTTGACATGATAATAAGTTAATGATGATGTGTTATTTTTATTATTGTTTCTAGCGGAAACAACATAAGTCAAGAATATTTTGTCATGCAGCAGCGGTGGCCGCAGTAGTAGACTCTTCGGTCTCCTGATCAGTCGCCCTGCGCTGTGCGGGTTCGGATCCCGTGGTGTGATTGTCCGGTAGACGGTCTCTGACTGTCGAACGCAGAGGTACCACCCGGCGGATCTCGTAGGCGGGGCTAGAATGTGTGCATGTTGCATGCACACGTGTTCCCTCGCCAGAGTCCGTGTGGCATTCCCCTTTCCCCTGAATCCCCCTATAGCCCCACGGTACCCCATGGTTGTTTAAGCCTTAGGCCTTCGTGGTGGTTGGAGTATAAAAAAAAGGCTGTTTCATCACTGATACGAGGTCTGAAAATTAACTAATGAGACTAGCAACGTAGCGTTCGCTCTGGCAACACTGAAGGCGCCGGGCTTGGAGGGGTGACAGGGGAACATATTATACGCCTTCAGCGATTTTTTTTGTGAAACAGTTTTTTTCTATTGAATTCAAAAATGATCAATTTCAAACAAGGGTGTGCTATCAGGTTTTGCTTCAGACTTGAGCACAGTGCAACAGAAACTCTTCCTAATAAGCCTACTTAGATAGTGTTTAGTCAAGAGCCCAAGCAATTCGGTCGTTTAAGGCATTTACAGAAGTCGATGATGAAGCTCGAAGTGGATGACGTTCATGTTCAAGAATCGATTTAAATATCGACAAAATCCGGGATCGTGTGAGTTTGGATCATCGGTTGACAGACAGAATGATCGGGGAAGAGTTCAATTTGATTCACACCACTGTTCATCAGAACAACTGGGTGTTGCATCACGAATATGCTCCTTATCACACAGCAATGTCAATAAACGAGTTTTTCGTCAGTAAAAACATTCCTGTGACTCCTCAGCCTCCTTATTCGCGTTAGGCGCGTATAGACCGAGATTTCAACGCAAACCAAGTCACATGTGGTTACAGATTTGGAGGTGTTCGAATCGGAGTGTACGTCGAGAGCCAACATAAGCCAACGGTTTCCAAGGTAGCGTTGGTTTGTGAACAGGAATTGTTGCGCTTCTAGTATTCAGGCTTTTGTCTACATTCGACGAGAGGAGACTCGTCGCTCGACATTAGCACCGATTAACCCAACGCGGTCCAACTCGAAACTAAATTTAGGTGTAGACGAGCGCATTCCAATACCGTCCAACAACAAACGCCAACGTCACATGTTCTTGCATTTGTTTCCTCGGCGTTGGATTTTCGATCTGTATGGGGCTTTACTTGAGTCTTTGTGACTTTTTTCTCTTACCGAAGTTGAAAAATCACCTCATTTTGGAACAGTCGAAGGCATTCAAATGGCAGTAACTGACCAGCTGAAAGCTATTCCAGTATGAGGTGTGGAAGGACCGGGAGTTTGATAGTGAAAAAATTAAAAACCATCAGTCTTGTCACTTATCTTACAGACCTCGTAAACTGTGAAGGTCACACTTTTCAATCTTCTAAAACTTCAGTGCTATATTAAGCCGAAAAAAATCATTTAAAACTCGTTTATTGTGAATGACAGCTTTTATTGATTCCTGAGAGGTTTGACTTATGAAGTTTTTCTGATCCAACATAACCATCGTTGAGATGCAATTTGACAGATATGAAAATGCGTTTATCATATCTCTAGTATTCACATCGACACAGAGAACGAATCAGTACAAGGTTACTGATAGACGTCATGCCCAAATCAATGGGACGGTTCTTGAATAATTGATTTGTACCAGATGTGTAGCTGGACACCGTTTTTGTCAAAACTAGGTGCTTTCTCAATATGTAAACAAATGTTGACAGATCAATAGCTGTTTAAAAATTTATAAAATATTATTTCCATATTTCCATAATTACTTTAAGTTTCGATGCGACACAAAAAACTACAGAAGATGAATGAATCTAACAATCCAGACTGATGTGCTTGGAATATCATTAACAAAATTTCAGGGAAAACAAAACCTCAGCAGAATTTGTCGGTAAAAGTTGGTACCGTTACTGACTGCCCTTATTTTATGATGAAGTTGTTCACTTTGTTGATGTAGAGGAGAGCCCTTTTGGGGTCTTCTGTGACCTCAGCAGGGCTTTCGACTGAACATGATACTCTTATGAATAGACTAGCATGTTGTGGCATAAAAAGAACAGCCATTAGAATGGTTGCGGACCTTCCTCACAAACAGAAAGCAGTATGTAGCTATACGCCATTTAAACTATGTTGGTACTACGGTGGAAGTTAATTCTGGGATTGAAGAATGTCTGATGGGTGTTCCACAGGGGACTGTTCTAGGCCCTATTTTATTTTTGCTTTATGTAAACGACTTACCTAATTTTATGACTGATGCGCGGATGATACCTCAATTGTAGCTTCTGGTACAATATACAGGGTGTCCGCAAAGTTGGAGTTTTCCTTTTCAGAAACTACTACCCTTGAAATAACAAAGGTAATGTGTAGTGAAACGAGGGCGACCAAGTAAAAAAAAATAAAGAAAAAAGTACTCATTCACAGTTGACGAGAAGGACTAAGTACGTCTCTGCCCGAAATCATACCGCTCCAACAGAAAATGAAATCAGCTGATGCGCTACCGAGCAGACGCAGGCAAACAAGGAAGGCAAAATGTTGCGTAAAAAGTCTAGGTATTGCATCCCGTCCAATCGATTTGGGGGAATAAATGGTCCAATGAGCATACCGTTCACCATGCCAGCCCAAACATTCACCGAAAATGTTTGTTGAAAATGTGCCCGACGGACAGCGTGCGGATTTTCTACTGACCAAACATGAGTGTTGCGAAAGTTATTCACCCCATTACGCGTGAACGTAGATTCGTCTGTCACCAATATGCACTTCAAAAAGTCCGGATTATTGTCATGTTGATGCAACAACCACTCACAAAACCGCACTCTTGCTGGAAAATCGTCAGGTTGAAGGGCTTGTACACGTTGGACGTGAAACGGATACAGCCCCTCTTCACGCAGCGTTTGCCACACTTTAGTTTTTGATACTTGCACTTCTCTAGCCACGTCTCTAGTGCTTAATGAGGGATTCTCGTATACGCGATTACCTCTACACGCGTGACCGTAACCGTCGGTTGAAGGTTGCATACTGACCTGACACACTGACCCCGATCCAGTTCTGTCGTCGGGTTGAGCTAATATCCTAGTACCAGTCGGGGATGTCGCGGCTACAGGACGGTATTCAGATATTTTTGATGTTGCAGAACCCTTTATCTCGGTTCCCTTAAGACATGGTGTATATGGTACTAAGAAAAATTGCTTATGTTTTCAAGATCTACACGTCGTGTAAAGGAAAACCTTAACTTTGCGGACACCCTGTATATGTTTCATTGTCTAGGGCCTAGACTCTAGGCTGCAAAAGTGGTTTTCAAATAATAATTTATATTTAAATCTAAACAAGACACAATGTATATTCCACACGAGGCAAAAAAGTTGCAACGAACTCAGTTTTGAATTAAATAATATTAATAATATTGTAACAAGGATGAATAGTACTGCTAACGCCATCTGTTGAGACCCGCGCCAGGTACTCTCAGAAGACTGGCACCAAAGGTTGTGGACTGCCGCTATGTGGCATACCGGAACCTTCTCGAATTAACGAGTACCTGCGTTGCGGAATATATAAGCCGACGGCCGGGAGAGCGAAGCAGAGTTGAGTGAATGGTGTGACATAATAATTCGTTAATAAGTAGTCAGACATAAATAGTGGTGTACATAAATGTTCTATCTAGTTAAGTTGAAGTTAGTTGTATTTTGTGTTTTGAACAAATGAGTGCATTGCATCTTGTGGAATCGAGTGTTTTTAATCCACACCCAAAAGAACCCAGACAAACGCTACAATATGAAATATATAAAGTTGCTTGGTGTGTTTTTGGATTCCTGTATGGAGTGGAATCAGCACTGTGACTATGTAATAAAGAGGCTTAATTCCTTATATTATCTATTATTAAATTTAAGGTATATCCTATCATTAAATCAATTAATTAGTTTGTATCATGCACAGGTTGACTCCGTCATAAGATAATGCATATGATTTTGGGGGATCTCAACCAATGTATTGCCATTAATGGCATTATTTTTCCAAATAAAAATAGTATGCCACAGTTTTTTTCGAAACGCGCAATTTTTCGAATTTGGTGCGGCATCCTTTTAATAAAGAAAAACGTATTTCCGAAAAATTGTTTGTGGCTTGAATTTGATGAAACGCATTATATATTCGTCGTTGTAACTGATCAACAGTATTAATTTGTTCAGCATACACTAGTTGCTTAAATGCGCCCTACAAAAAGAAATCCAGGGGGTTCAAATCAGGAGACCTCACAGGCCAATGTACGGGTCCGTTTCTGCCAATCCATCGTTGTCTAAAATGATTATTTAACATCATCTAACATATTTTCTATGTAATTCTCTAGAAAAGCTAAGTATGAGCTTGCATTTAAACGTTGTGGCAATACGTGCATAAGCAGTTGGCCATTGAAAATGCCGCACCAGACATTTCTAGAAACCCGGTGTTGAAACGAGTGGATTCTTACAGAACGGGGATTTTCTAACGACCAAATATCTTCATTATGAGAATTAAAGGTTACACTCCTGGTAAAAAGCGATTAATCTGACCACAAAACCGAATCAATAAAATCTCTCTCTCACAAAAATTTCGGCGTTGCACTTCGTCGCCGGGTTGCAGACATTGCACATTTTTCCAATGGTAAAGATGTTAAACTTCCCGATTTAAAATTCTCTACGCAAGAATTTGGGAATATGGTAACTGGGCTGCAATTCGTCCAGTATTTTTACTAGGATCATCCAACGTCAAATAAATCACTTCCAGTTTCTCTTGAACAGTATGATGGACACCATGGCATCAAACTCCGGGAAGTTTGGCAATTCCATATTGCCGAAGTCTTAGAAATGAACGCGTGAAAACCTTGGGGGTGGGTTGGCGTCTGTTAGAAAATCTACGTTGATGATCTCGAAGATATTAAAGAGTTTTTTTAATTTTTAAACTGCAACACCCCGTATCTTTTTGATGAAGCCCTAGAGTAAAAAATGTTACATAGAAGACCCCACTTAAAATTCATTTCTATGTATGTCGTTTCATTTTTGATCACGACTTGAAAATCACCCGGTGTAATAGCAACACTCGACCCTTGACTCCTGATTCACCATTACATACACCGTTTGGATTATAATACAAAGTTTCCGTACACTTATGATTGATAAATTGAAAATATAATGGAAGCTTGGTCATACAGCAAAATATCATGCGAACATTGACTATATCACTCCTTAGCGGGGATGATAACAGTAATAACTTTTGCAATGACAGGAGATGCTTGCATAACTTTTTTGCAAAAAGTCCGCATTTTACTTCCAATAATTTTGCAGTTGGTGACGTTCTGGTAACGAGCTCTTTAAGAATAGATGCTTGAAGCCCTTCCACATTGTTTTTGAGCTGTTTTAAAGCGTTCCTTTGTAAGACTGGTACTGCTTTCTGGTTAGTCGGTCAAGTCCGTCTCAAGGAAATTCTACCAGATTGAAACCGGGAATCTATTATTGGCAATGTACCTGCTGTTGGTTTTTGATCAAATAATTTTTACTCAGTAATGACACTAGCTTAAGATCGTAATCATGTTTGCGTAACAATGAGTCTTCTGCTCGCGGAAACTACATGAACATAAATCTTCTCTAACATTTTTCCTTAAGAATATTATAAATCCGGTGCAATAATGGAGAAGCGCTATTGAATGGGAACCATCTTGGTGCCATTGCGCAACTGTCTACGTTTTTTGCGGTTGAAAGAATGAATTTGGAGTCGGTGTTTCCTGAACCAGATGCCGAAGGTACGCATAATTTTCTTTTGGTACTGAAAATGTCGAATTTAGACTCGCCCATCCATTGCGCGTTTCTGAAGTCTTAGTCTTATTCTTATTTTTGGTCCACCACAGGCTAACAGACCCAGCTGGTGGTACTAGTAGGTACTTTAATTCCCTCTGCAAGGGGTTGATTTTTCACTTTAGGGGTTATAACATATTAATTATACTAGTTGTCTTAATATGCATCCCACCCTTCTTATGGGGGTTGATTAACTATCCCAACGGCTTAAGCACGGGTTGACCACAAGTCAGGCAGATACTTACTTCTGAAGAAATGTTAAAAAACGTTAGTAATGTAGCTTTCGTTCATCCTAGCACATACGGCCAAACATGTGCTGTTTGTCAACTCGTCAACATGGTCATGATATTTTCATTGCGGTATAATAGTGCTTTAGAAGGTATACTCTTTCATAAGGTATATTTAACTGACTTTTAGTGGTAGTAAGAGGCAAAATGAAAGTAAAATTTGACACCAATTGCAATAATAATTCTTTTAAGCCATTTATGGTGAAATTAAATCAAATCATATGCCATAACTATGGGTCGCATATTTCGGTATCGCTGCATAAGGCGTATTTACCCAACTTCTAACCCTTCTGGACCCCTTTGGATCAGGATAAATCGTGTTGGTGCAATAGAAACATTTGATCGACACTTACAGAACTTAACCACAAAGCTTGGAACAAATCCACCGGGATCAATTTTCTCCTAAGAATGGTGCGTGGTCTTTGTGTCTCTATGTGTATGTATATGTGTGAATGCGCAGTAGGGGAGATGCGGGCAAGGGATATCTAACGTTTAAAGGGCAATAAAACTGAAACCATTGCACTTAAACAATCATCATATTTATTTTGAAATCTTCCTTTGGTAATAAGTCTTTAACATTTTTATAATTTTAGGAACAATCATAGCGTAATTATTATTCTAGAGATATAAAAATAAAAAAGTCCCACTCGCCTCTATTGGTCTTTCTCTTGTATTTTTTCACCATGCTAAAACAAAGAAATCGGCCTATGCATTACACAGCCAAGTCACATGCATATATTATACAATCACAAACATACATATAAAGAGAGAGATAGATTAACATTAATCAACACAGAAACTCAAACCGTAATCAAAAACTTAGGGCGGACAAGATGGGGTACACATTGCCCTCCTAGGTATCGATGTATTGAAAAAAAATAATCAAAATAAATAATACACAAGACAGAAATAACCCAGTTTTTACCTGCTAGCGTAATCTTCGGCGGATGAGGATAAACTCTTATCTAATATACACTACTATTATTTGTATAGTAAACACGTACTAAACGAATCGAGAAAATAAGAAGAAAACGTGCCGAAATCACTTTTGTTTCGATAACCTAAAAAATACATGTCGCACGAATCACACACGAGAGTGCACTGAGAGCCGTCATGGCGCCACATCGTCTGTGCAAGTTTGAAAATGTTCGCGCGATTAGAAGGTCATAATAGAGCGGCTGCCCCGTCTTGCTCGCATCTCCCCTATTTGAATCTGATTCTCTTTCTGGACGAACGAATAAGTAAAAGTTCGAGCAATTACAAAGTGACAATTTCCAATTGCATAATTACACCTTTGAAGCATGGAAGCGGTTTTAAGTTCGAAACGTTCTCTTTCAATATTGTTTCTTCATTACCTAAATTTTGCAGATTTTTGATTGATTGTGAAAGAATGACAAGATTCTTGTTCACCAAGCAACTTCCGCGGAAAGAAGCCTTAACCTGCCAAGATTCATTCATGAACCAATACAATGATCCCAAAGACTCTGTGTAAAACAAAAGGAAGGTATGTTGCAAAGCATATACAGAGTGTTCCTCGATCATATACTGAAACTTTAAGATATGATACCTCAAATAATTTTATGAAGAAAAATTTTTAGGTCAAGGTGTGTTGAAGAAGAGAAAAATGTTTTTATTATATATCTTCGATATTGCTTCAGATATTATTTTTACGATAGGTATGAGAGGCTGTAAAATAACAAATTTAAGTGTAATCAATATTTTATTGTGCCACCAGTTGCGTTCCTGTAAATGTGTCTTGCGATATTTTTTTACGAGATGCTGTTTTTCTAAATGAATATTCTTTATAGTTAGCAAAATGGTAACTTTTGGTTTTGGCACTATTCACGAAAATACTCTTCAAAAATAAATCGAGTTAGCCTAATGACATTTTCCCATGAACGTTACTGATGGCGCAGTAGAATACTTTTCATACTGAAATATATCATTTTACATGCTCTTATAATGTGCTAATATTTTAAAATAGTATTTAAAGTTCGTTCAAAGGTAAACATTTATAATGAGGTTTTAATAAAAATTTATATAATAATGATAATAACATAAGATTTTTTTCATGAAATTATTTGATCCCTATAATATTAGTACATCATTAAGGAACACATTGTATAATTTCCCAATCTCTATCCGATGTAGATACTTTCCTTGGGACGAACTTGAACAACGAATCATATCCTAAATATAGAAAATCTCCACGTCGGGTTTTGAAACCCTGGTTTCCTCAAAACTTCATTTGATACGGGTCAGCAACGTAAACCAAAACGTCCAAATTGAAGTTAATTAGCAAGCAAATCATTTTCGTACGATCATATATTATTTTCCTAGTGAAAGTTGAGCAGGTGATGTTTTCCATTTTCCGTGAACGTAAGTGGTCCGTTCAGCAACCAGTGACCGGCATTCTGGCCCTTTTAGAGTAGCGCATCCCCCATCTGAGACGTCAGATGGCGCTTCAACTCTGTCGATGCCCGTATTGACTGGTCCCCCGAGGCATCCGCAGGGACGGATTCGTTGGCAAATTTTCCGTTATACAGATGATGATAAATGAATGAATTAAAGTGCAAAAATATTTTGGTTGGTGACTGACTGACGCTTTGGCTAAAAAAAGGTTTGGTCGCATTTTCGGCCAAATCTTGGTGATTCACGAACGCTCGATCTACGACTGGCTGTATTTGGGCGTTTGTATTGTAACTCCCTACACATTGAGATTGCATTAAGAAGAAGAAACAGAAAAAAGTTTAAACATGAAAAATATAATAATGTCAAGTATAACTAGTTGCATGTTTTCGAATTAGTCAGAATATAACTCTAGTGAGTGATCTTTATCTAACACTAAATTGTTTATTTAGGTATCACTTAATATTAAAATAACTAGTATTAGCAAGCAAAGTAATATTGTAAAGATTATAAAATAAAATGTTCCTTTTAATAAAAATATAAATGTAGTATTACTAAATATATGCCTTTTACCAGACTAGCCGACATAAACAAGTTCCTAACGTCATACTCAGCGCATGTACGACGTACATAAAAATCTCTAGTTAACCCTGTATCTGCCTTTGCGCGACACCTTATTGAAAAAATCTAATATTGACATAGGTTATCAGTTATGACTTATAGATGACATAAGATATTATAAAAGTTGAAAAATAACCTGGGAATATGACTTTAGAATTAGTTGCTTGCAAGCATAGGTTCTATTGTTACTTGCAAGCCACATTGACCGATAAAGGTAAACCTAATTGCACTGGTTTATATGGAAATACAACTATACAATTCAAATCATTTATTTATAAAACGAATATCAAGAAATAAACAAAATATATATTTCTAGTTTTACAAAATACAATGTGACGAAACAACTAAATCTAATTGGAATGGAAAAGTTAGAAACAATTCTTATTTGGGGTGAAACAAAGCCTAAGATTGCACTTGGTACAAAAGATTGTTGTAAATCCATTGGCACAGTGCCTGCATCTACCTTTTGTACCATAAGTTGGCCAATGACCTATGCCATCTTTTTGGGTGGTGATATCAGGTCTCGGCAGTATAGGGTTTGATATTATTTTCGCAGGGGTTTTATTAGTCGAGGAAATGGATGGTCTGCCACGAGAACTTTGTTTTCCTGCATTGGCCAACGATTTGGCTAATTCCATACGGAACTCCTTTAGCGGTTGCAGTCCTTTCTATACAGAAGCCAGGCGTTGATCACTGACATATCAAGAACCCATGTGAAAATTGGGAAGTACCATCTTTTCGATCTGCTTGGACTGCGATACAGACCAAGTAATGAATTGGCCTTATCGACACCGCCCATGTGCTTATTGTATTGCGTTATAACGGATGGACAAGGGATGGCAATTTTTTTCTTTTCCACTTTCGAATATCTTTTTATCGATTTTACGGGATTTAGACAACAGAATGTACTTGCTTATAGAACACATTTATTGTCAGCCCATTGTACTACTATTATACCTTTGTCTGTATCTGCTTTATAAACGTAGGAACCTCTTCAACTTTTTTGAAGCACTTTATCGGTTTCAAGTTGACATCCAGCTATTCTGTTAGACCTTATAGTTCCTAAACTAAGTATCCCGAATCGGTCTTTCTGATAAATAAATAATTTTACACTTGAAAACCAATTGTCACAGAATATAACAGTGTTTATCGGTTCGCTTAGGGTTTTGTACAGAGAAATGACGGCGCTAGTACCAACACCTAGATTTACTTCATAATCATCTACCTCATTCGGAGATCCTTTAAGCACTTCAAATGTCGCAGCTCCCTGATATAATATGAAGTCCGCAATATAACCAGAAACCCCAGTACGAATAAAAAATTTTAACCCCCATTTGTGGGGTTTATTTAGGATATACTGCCTCAAGTTGCCCGCATATGTGCCTTTGTAAGACACCATTGTTTCATCAATTGAGTATTGATTTTCAAAATGGAGTTTATAACAGTTCTTGAGTACAATTTCTAATAAGGGTCTAATTTTGAAATGTCGATCCTTTGTCTGGTCTGTTATGTTAGTATTATCATTGAAATGGATAAACCGTCTTAGTTTCTGAAACCTCTCCAGAGGCATTATATTGGCAACGTGACCTACTCTTGTACTAGCTGCCCAAAAATCTTCTATGGCAGGAAGTTGTATTACACCCATAATCAAGAGTATAGATATAAAATCCGTTATTTCTGACAGATTTGTATCAATACATTGCCCAAGTTGCAGAGTACTATAAAGATTTGTCTGATAGACTATTTTATCCATTAGATCAAATGAAAAAAACTTTGCAAAATACTCAATGGGAACTGCAATGTTGTCAGGTTCAGGAAAGTCTGGTGAAGGTATGTTAGCAGAAACTATGTCAGCTTCAATCCAAGAATATAATTCAGTTTTTCGTCTTTGTGGTGGTGGCGGCTCAGTTTCATCGTCACTTTCTTCGAATTCAGAATTACTTTCTGAAACCAGCATGTCAAGTCCTGAAGGCACTTCTTCTTCATCGTTAAGCTCATTTGTTTGGGAAATATTTTCTCCGTCACTGAAATCGTCGTCTGAGACATTGGAAATATGCGGATGTGTGGGAATTACGGTCGATGCTTTCTTTTTGCCGAAAAAACATCTAGTGCTTATGGTTGGAAAACTATCCAGATAGGAAGACTGAAAAAGAAAACGTAATTGTTCTGGCAATGTTGCTGGAGAGATACATACTAAACAAAGTCATTTTCCTGCCATCATAAACATAAAGACTCAACCTTCTTTTATACCAACCAAGGCTAATAGAACATAAAAACAAATGATTACTTACCATTTGCAACTAAAATCCCAAATACAGATTCATACATGCACCAAACACCGTTACGCGGTAACCATATTGAAAATTTTGACTCAACTTTTTATAAACAGAGGTCGCTCATAATATTATTCCCGTTAATGAATAATATAGCTTACGCGCAACACTACCCAATCAGACCGTTAGAGCAGGGAGGACGAGAAATTGAGGTTTAAAGATCATGTTGCCTACAGGCTACAGCACCAGATATAGTGTTAACTAATCCTCATCCTATTCTAAAGCTTCTCCTGTATTTTTTAACACATTTCAGCTATGCTTTGAATAAAAAATAAACATGGAATTTACTCAAATTTTGGTTTTACATGCTATTTTTAAAAAATTTCAATATTTGGAAAATCATGTAAAGAAACTATAACTGTCTGTCAAAATATATTTCAAATGACTATATTGTTGCCTATTAATGCAATACAATAAGCTACATACACTGAGAACCAAATTTGTCTGACGGCTTGAGTTCAATGTATGCGAGAGAGAAGTGTGTACAAATATAAACACATATGTTGGAAAGATATTAAATCTGACTGGATAGATCATCACCGCATTACCCATAGGTTACACCAGTTCCTTGAATTGAGATGCATATTGAAAATATCCGTTAGTTTCTCCTTTACGCCCAAATAATGGTATTATTTTGATCGTACAGATTTTTGAATTATTAATTGTATCAAATCTGTTTAGGATCGATTCCGGCAGGGGTATTATGTAAAAAAACCTAAAAAAAATGTCAAAAAAACTACAAATTGTCATCTTGCAGACTAGATGGCTTTGAGTGCCGTATCGCCAGTCGCTTCTACAATAAAGGACGCCTTTATCGCTCCTTGATTTTCATGGTTTTTCCTGTCTTTCAGAAACGCGTTCTATTTTGAGGTTACGTTACAAATATCTTTTTGCACCAAATTGTTCATGCTTTCTGTTTTTATCATCTGTTTTATACGCCTGAAATTTCCTACAAATTATTAAAAAGAAGACATAACTAGGAGAGTGCCGACGCTGACGCGGAACAGCAGAATATAAATTCTTATATAATATAATAATACCCCAGTCTTTCTGATGCAGAGAAAATGCTATGAAAATCAAGGAGGCCATAAAGGCATCCTAGGAACGACTGACAATACGGCCCTTAGTGTGCAAATAGTTCATTCCATGTCTGCTCGCTATGATCGCTATGAGCATCCATCTGTGGAAGAATGACTCAACGACACGACACGCTCAAGCATGCACTGTTGGTTGCAGAAAGGCGGGAGTATATGTTTCGTGAAGCGTAGTAGTCTGTAGTGTTTATCTCCAAAAGATATGAAAGAAATAAAATTGCTTGAGTAGCAAGATCGCATCTGGATGATTATGTATTGGTCTGCATGTGTATTTGCTATGTGACAAAATTACTGAATATGCTGCCAAAGAAGTATATCCATTAGCTGTGTCCGACGGGTTAATTACATGTTGTCCTTTCTGAAGACAGGTTATGTTCAAAGTTATTAATTACGATATTTCACTTGTTTTTTGTATGTTCAAAAACTTTGAGAAGCATTAAGGAAATCACCACTGCGCCCGCGTTGTGTGTAACTTAGCCAAATCACAGAAAAATTAGGAATGACGCATTACACGTCAAACATTTTCACAGTGCCTCAGATCTAGACGCTGATCTGTATTTTCTGACATCACGACATAAATTTCTATAAAATTTAAATGACTGGAAATAAAAAATAATATAATAACCTTTCCACTTTCATAAATATTCCTGTCTGTAGCCTATTTCCTCACCTGTTAGTTGTCATATACTTCACCAATCAGGGATTTTCTTTTTTATCTCTCTCATTTTTAAAATTCAGCAAATTAGCAAAAACTGGATGCACATCTAATTTTTAGCTTTAAATACATCTCAAGTAAGTGTATTTGAGACAAGAAACCAATGAAATTATCATCAACACAGATTATCAGCTCACAAATCCTCACTATGCACCTACAGTATATTCAGATAAGAGATAGACCGGACATAAACAAGACCACGTGATCATCGAACGCTGTAACATTCGGCAGGGACGTATTAAGAGTCACGCAGTACATATTTTAGATAGTAGATGCTGCTTTGCGTAACTTTGTAGTAAATTAGCACAATTCGATGTGTATACGATTGGTGATGGATATAGGATCATGTGGGGGTGGGGTAAGCAATATATAATGATGTAAATATACATAAGGGTTTCAAAATTTTCGCTTCAATTTCCAGCTTCGGATGCCGCCTGATGTTTGGTGAAATACAGTCGAAATGGCGTTTAAATTAGCCTAAATTAAAAATAATCGTATATCTCTTAAAATTGCTTTTAGAGTATTGATTAGTATATTTTTTGATTTCTAGGTAAATATGTAATCAAATTAAAACGTTCAAAACGTAAAAAAATGTGCATGGTTGAACATTGTCAGAAAGTAGATTCTTGAATAGGTTTTGCCAAAATGGGTTCAAAAATGTCAATAATTAATTAAAAATACAGTAGCTTTATAATTACTTATAACTTAACGAATTTGATGAACGACATCTTTTATTGGAAAGATGAGCTTGATGAGCTTTCATCATCGCTACTGCCTGAAGCACCAACGTCAATAATGAATGGCTCGACTTGTTCCTCTAAAATATTGTCCAGTTCCCACATTCTCTTTTCAACTTTGTCTTTCACGTGCTTAATACAGTTTTCCCATTTTTGCGCTGTTATTAATTCTAGTGCTTCTTTGAAAAGTCCTTTGAGGTCACAAAATTTAAAAGTTGTATTGTGCTTAGCTATATAATTTTTAACCTCTGCCCATATGAGCTCAATGGGATTGAGCTCGCAATGGTATGGAGGTAAACGGAGCACAGTTTTATTTTGACTTGCTGCCATTTCGTCAATGGCGTATTTTCGATATTCCGCCTTGTGATCCTTGACAATTCTTAATAATTGTACTTTCAGCATTGCTTCTTCAAAGTTGATATTTTTCGAGCGGAGCCAATTTTGAACATCAACTTTCCTTGAAGCCGTTGTTGGGACCTTCTCCATTCTTCGAGAATGATAAGGCGCATTATCCAACACAATTACTGCGTTTTCCTCTAAGTTCGGTAAAATTTTTGAAAACAACTGTTCAAACGATTCGCCATTCATTTCCTCGTGGTAATCTTCAGTTTTCTTAGACTCAAAGCACCACAGACCGTCAACAACAAATCCATCCTCACTGCCAATATGGCAGATAATGAGCCTTTTCCCTTTACCTGGAAATCGAAGTACTAACTGGTATAGATTTATTTCAATAAGCGAACCTTTTTCAAATGTTTTCATCACATTCAGCGAAAAAACATTGAGACATGAGTATCAGATTGCTATAATTGGGATTATTTAGTCATATTGAAAGAAAGAATATTGAACGTCGTATGATTACTCAGCGCTTCACAATTTAATTTAAAGTTATAAACCTTTAAAAAATGAATGATCAGGAACCTGAAATACGCGCAAATATTAATATTAACAAATTATGACTTTATAAAGCTTAAAGTATGAATTAAAATGATTAGAAATATTAGGAACGGTACACAATATAAAACTTAGTAACTTTTTTTAAGTTTATAATATTCGACATATTTTAAGATTATATTAAAGAATTATTGAAATATCGAAAACACATAAAAACATGGCTTAAAAAAGTTCTAACAAATGAAAATGACAATAAAACATCCACGCATTTTATCGAAAGTTATAAAAGTTTTGTTACTTGTAATATGTTTTATCTGCCCCCTGGTATTAATGTTTAGAACCTTGTTCCCAAGGTTTGAAAAACATCCGATTGTTGTCTATTACTCGTATTTACCTGCTGGATTTTTTAATCCGGTGGACAGTCCATCTAGAAAGGCCCTCCTGGATGAAGTTACAGAATCATCAACCCATACTTTACTTGTAGTGTGTCCTGCGTTTACCCACGTTTCATCAAGGTAATAAATCTTCCTGTTTTGATTTCTATATTTCCCAATTTTTGTTAAATAATCCCTCCTCCATAGCACAATTTCTTCTCTATCCAGTAGTAAACTATTACGACCCTGTTTTTTCCATTTGAAATTTAAATGCTTCAGTAACGCATGGAAAGTTGATCGTTTGAAATTTGGCAACGTTGTATCTCCATTTACCTCCTGCAGTACTTTATCTATAGTAGGTATTTCATTCCTAAAGAAGAATTCATGCACTTTCCTCCTAATCGCATGCTTATCAGCTTCATCCAATGATTTAACAATACTTTTGCGATGTTTACTGGTCATTGGCTCAGAAAAGGTGTGATTTTTTTTGTATTGTCTTAACACATTAAACACTGATGCGCGACACACCCCAACTTTGTGAGAAACCTTCACAACAATTTCTTTGATGGTTGATGCCTCGTTCTCCTCGCGCTCGATCTTATATATATTCAAAATGACCTCTTTCATTTCTGCACTCAGGTGTCTTTTTTTAGAGCGTTTCCTAGGTGGACTACAGGAGTTTACAACTTCATCGGCAGTATCTGTACTACTGGGCATTTTGCGCAAGCAGTTGATAACAATAACAATCAATAACAAGGTATAACAATAACAACGACAAACTCAACAACTTAATAAGATAACAAACGAAAACGTCCAAAGAAATATCAAATTGCAATGATGCACACGACATACGTAACACGTCTGAACCTGAATGTGACTCTGCCTTGATACGACTGCTCTGCCGCTCGGCATAGGCATTTAATTGCGAATTGACCAATGAGGGCTCCTGTTTTACGTCGAGACGGCGGCGTTAGCGTGAAAATCACCCGAACCTTTTGTTTACATCCGGTCTATCTCTTATCTGAATATACTGTATGTACTTCCAGGTATAAGAAGGTGGTCGAAATAGTTTCCGACCTCAACGTGAAGATGGCACCACTCGTAAATAAAAGCAAGTGAATTTCGTTGTTCATCTTTTGGCAGTTACTCACCAAAAGTTCAGCCGTTTTGGACGAGCAGTTGTTATGTAACAGGCATTTGAGTGAGTTGATGCGAGCGATCATTAAATGCCTATGCAAATCAAAGATGAATTGGACATTAAGGCCTATTCATACTCAGCCGTGACGTGACAGTGCTGTGACCGGCACGGAATCTGCCCGGCGAAACTAAAAACATTCTTCTCGAAATTTGGATGAACTGATTCACACTTGACCGGCACGTGGAAGTGTCCGTGTTCTCAGTGCCCTCGACGACGCCGTACCGTTATCATCCCATTGTTTTGGAACGATATTTTTCGATTTTCACGACCGTGTTTTTATGTAATTTCGTGAATATTTTGATATAATTGGTCAGAAACATGCATGATAAAAGACTAATTGAATTTGTACTCGTACATCCCATGCTGTAGACCCAGTCAAATTCAAAATACAAGGATCTCCGTTTTCTTCTAGTTTCTTCTTCTTCATCTTTCGTAGGTGGTAGACGGTCTCTGACTGTCGAACGCGAAGGTACCACCCGGCGGATCTCGTAGGCGGATCCAGAATATGTGCATGTTGAATTCACACGTGTTCCCTCGTCCGTGTGGCGTCCCCCTTTTCCCCTGCGTTTACCTCTATAGCACCACGGAACCCCATGGGTATTTAGGCCTGAGACCTTCGTGGTAGCTGGAGTATAAAAAAAATCCAGAATTAATGCAATAATTGCAAGTTAATCCTCTGAAAATTTTGCCATCTCGATCTCACGTGAACACAACTGCACTGTCAGAGCACGGAGAAAAATACTGACCGGTGTGAATTGAAAACACTGTGATGTCACGTCCGAGAATCACTGGCACGTCACGGAACTGTCACGTCACGGCTGAGTGTGAATGGACCTTTAGAAAGCTGTCCGCGCATTGTGTGCCACGTTAGACCAAAAACGTGTTCGAATGAATATTTCCAACGCTCTGTTGGCGCAGCTTAGTCGCAATAAATCCGAGTTTTGGCACCAATTAATTACTGTAGATGAAACTTGGATTCACCATTATATGCTCGAAATAAAAACACAGTCCAAACAATGGACTCCAAAGGGAGAACCGGCACCAAAAAAAGCAAAAAGCGATTTTTTTTTGTTCCCTCAACTAAAAATTGCGCTCGGAGGACATAGATTTTTGTCAAATGAAGAGACAATCACCTTATTAACAATTATTTTGTAGAGAAAAATTCCGAGTACTATTTGGACAGGTTACAGAGCTGGGAGAAGTGTGTAGAGTTACAAGGAGACTATGCTGCAAATTAAAAATAATCAGAAAAAATGTCTTGTATCTTTTTTAGGTCGGAAACTTTTCAAATCATCCTCGTAGTATACAACTTACAGCATAGACCTCCAATAATGCCATCTCTGAAGCAGATATTACATCACATCAGAGCCAAACATTGATAACTGAGGCATCATGACGTTTAGGTAACACATAGAGCTAAAAAACGAGTTCACAACAAGTGTACAACAGCTAGTGCTAAGTTAACATCTCGTAGATTAACTTACGCTATGTCACAAAAAACCTACAAAATGTCACTTTTCAAAATGCATAGTACCCGTGTGGATCGGTCCTAACAGCGCTCATTGAAGAGTGCCGGCCTGCTTCGAAATGATATTCACCTGCGTAATGGTATTTGGATGTGTTGTTTTTGTCACCATCGGTGAATAATTCAAAAATAAATTAAGACATCAAAATTGAAATAAACAATATTCTAATCAAAATGAAAACAGAATATTAAATTAAATGTTCGAACAAACCTCCTTCATGGGTTTGACATTAACCAAACCTATTGTAGAAACCAGGCAGCAACGGTGGCCGCAGTAGTAGACTCTTCGGTCTCCTGATCAGTCGCCGTGCGCTGTGCGGGTTCGAGTCCCGTCCCAGGAGAAATGTTTCTCTTGGCTATGGATGTTGTGATTGTCCGTAGGTGGTAGACGGTCTCTGACTGTCGAACGTCGAGGTACCACCCGGCGGATCTCGTAGGTGGAGCCAGAATGTGTGCATGTTGCATGCACACGTGTTCCCTCGCCAGAGTCCGTGTGGCGTTCCCCCTTTCCCCTGTATCCCCCTATAGCCCCACGGTACCCAATGGGTGTTTAGGCCTTAGGCCTGCGTGGTAGTTGGAGTATAAAAAAAAACTTGTGCGAACATTTCTAGTGTAACAAATTGGCAACGCGGTATATTGCACGACCTTCTGAGTGACCATTGCTAGGCAATGTGGCGATGACTTTTGTTCTTCAGCCGGCTTCTATCTCTTTCTCAAATTTAGATATCTCTCGCGCTTCTCTCTCGTACTCACTTATCTCAAGCCGTCAAACAAATTTGGTTTTTCATGTACATACGAGGTCTGTAAATTAAGTGATGAGATTGGCAACGCATCGGTTGATCTAGCAACTCTGGTGGCACCGGGCTTGGAGGGGAGACAGGGGAACATGTGATCCGCCTTCCGAACAAGTTTGGACTCACTCGAGTCATTTGGTTGTCCGTATTGTATTCTCAGAATGAGTGATATCAATTTTGAGCAGCGTTGTGCTATCAGGTTTTACTTCAGACTTGGGCACAGTGCAACGGTTACTCTTGCTAAACTACGGCAGGCCTGCGGATATAGTGTTTTATCAAGAGTCCGGGTTTTTCTGTGGTTTGACATGTTCAGAGGGGAGAGTAAGAACATTCATTTGGCTCCTCAGCCTCCTTATTCGACTGACTTGAGTCTAGTTCCAGCACAGTTATGAGGAGTGGAAGAACCATCTCCAGCGCTTTAGAAGGAAGTTATTTTCAGGGTAGCAATACAAAACTGTAATTATATTTGAATAAAAAAAGATTTAAAAAGTCAGACTCATCACTTAATTTACAGTCCTCGTACCTTAGCACAAAATCGAATCGCTTTTGAGTTACTCCCAATTTCCTGAAATCCTAGAATAAATACCAAAATTATGTGATAACTGATCGCTTGTTCAATAATGAAGAGCAATTCCTTAGTTCTGTTATTTTACTCGTATATCTTATTCTAAGAATAAATAGTTTCCAATGTATCTAAAGATGGCGCACACTTTATAAAAAAGAATTTTAGTTTTCTTAATGGTTAAACCAGTACCGTCGCTTACATGAAGACTTGCGGCACGGTCACCGCGCTGCTGATATAAGTGCATTAGTAAATAATTGTACATGTTAATTTGCTAATATATTTGCTTGTACTCAGCTTAATATTCTAATGTTTTCGGGAAGTGTAAGGTAGATTATCAAAAAGGGACACGTTCAAACATTTATTTATATTCGAACGTACTGAATCTGCCCTTTAATTTGAGGATGCGTGTTTGACGCCTGGCTCTCGCGTATCTATAAGCGCTGTGTATTTCAACCTTTTATTAGTTGCTACCCAATTGTTCTACAGAGACTGCGTTGAAGGAAAAAAAATTGTAGAAATATATGTAGAAAAAGAACTTCTACTAGCCATTTTTGTATATTAAGCCACCTTTTGAAAAACTTTGTTCTGCAAAACAGGCCTAATAAATAAGTCACTAACAATTATTATCTAATTAAATTAATTTAGATCAATTTAATTTAATCAATTAATAAGCTCACAATCTGTGTGTTATTATATTAGAATTTATTGTATTTGTATTTTCTTTCAATAGTTGTATAATATTTTTTCTAATTATCGTACCACTCTCTGCTTCAGTTCTAACCTTTATAACCTTTTCAAAGTAGATGTTTAATTTTTAATTATTGTGAGAGGAGATTCGTAGCTGTAGCAGATTTTTATAGATGACGCAATAGTACCTATCTCATTTTATCTCTGATAGTTTTTTGGGCACCCGAATACAGTATTTGGCAGGTTATTTTCAGGTAGAATACAATACAATGATTATATGCATTGCTTTGAATGCAGTCATTTGGGGCAGCTTTGGGATACGGTCCTGCAAAGCGCTGCAGGGCGAGGGGACTTTTCCCGAAACCAGGAAAACCGTGTCAGCGGCAGCAACGTTAGCGACAGGAGTGAACGGAATATCAGATCCCTCCTGGTTCTGCTGCAGCCCTGCTATAGAATGATCGGAAATCGACGGTAGGGTGATCGGAAACCGCCGATCTAACTCATCACCGGTAATTTGTCCGTAAGATTATTTTGCCCAGATAGAAAATTCTTCAAAACTCATACACAAGAAAGCTGTCGAATCAAATCTCTTTCAGAAGCTCTGGTTATGGCCTACGGAGTTTCCGACGATGTACGTTGTAAAGGTTTCATGCCTCAATGTTTTTGTGCAAACCTATTAATCAATCACATCAGATGATATTTTTCAGCGTTTGATATCAACATAAATGTTCACCTTCAAATCGTACATTCAAAATGTCTATTATTACAGCAATACATACAATCCTGAGCTTTTGCGTCATAATCGTCTTCTTTAATTTCGGTAATTTGGTTACAATCTACAATTACAATTATTAGCAATGTGTATAATTAGTTATGATTTTACATTACATTTACATTGTAACAACCAGATGCACAAAACTGTCTGTAGCAATTAATACATTGTGAATTTAAACAATGTTATTCAGAAAATTGAAGCAGATAAAACTTATACATTTGTTACAGAAATTACAAGCTGCAACTTTGGGATAAATATGAACAAATTGTCATATGGGAGGTAAAATGTAATATTTGATCCTCAAGGATTTTAGTTTCGAAAAATTCATTGTAAACTTAATTATCATTAGCAAAGGCGTTTACCAAAAATAATCAAAATTAAGCTTTACGTCAACATATTTTTGTATATGTGTTTGATAAATTTGAAAAACATCGGGTACCTATTGTGAAAAACAAAAAATCACGTTACAAGACTTATTTATTATTCTTTCACATTCAGATGTTCCTAGACAGGTTAAGTACGCTATCAATCTACTTGGTTTGATTTGGAAAACTAATTGCGAAATATGCCATTTAAATCAATCAAATCCGATTTTGTTTCAATCGTAAACCATTTGATAGACATTAACTTGTTTTTCATATTATATAAGTATTCCAACATGTTGTGTATTTAGTAGAAACATCAATATTCATTCGCACAGTTAATGTCGGTCATAATATTAAAATCAGCTATGAAATAACTACACATAAAAACATATTATAACAAATATTATAATTATTATTTTGAATAACTATAAACCTTTGCAAAATTTTACAGAATTGTTCGAACTCCGATATACTGATTTACTTACAATGCTAATCACCAATGTTTTGATCAGATTTAAATCTAAATAAATACGACCAATAAAAAATGTAAAATATTCTTATAATAAACTTATTTTTTGAGTTACCTACATGTTGCATGAAAATGTGTTCTGAATTGTTCACGACCCAAACACCTTTCAGTTCTTTACAGAGCTTAAAATATACTATATGTATCCATAACAAAGTTAATCTGCTAAATTCATATTAATTTCAATAACGCATATCATAGGAATGAGGAATCTGGAATCCATATGCGCAGTGCAGGCAGAACAAGGGCGTCGCCAGAGGGAGGCAGAGGCGCAGTTGCCCCCATAGAGACCCTGAAAAATATAGTAAAATGCAAATCAATAAAATTCATATATGTATGTTCATTTACCGTGGTTGATCGATCATTCCCGCACGTCGAAACTCGAACGAATTCACTATTTCCATTCCTAATATTCAAATTCTAAGTTATAATAAATATAATATAATAACATAATTTAATTCAAGTTTCATTTACCGTACAGCCAAGAGCTCGTGGAGATTCACATATTGGGTTTTATACTGTTCTTATCACAAACACCATACTACACGTGAAAAATTTGATGTGCTATTGACTTTACCTACAATTTTTACATTTCTTATTCATCGTATGAACTTGACCCCCCCCCCCTGGGCCATTGGCTGGCGGCGGCCTTGGGTAAAATCGTTATCAGTGCCGGCAGATTGAGTCAAATATTTCCAATCAGCTGGTATCAGGATAGCAGGACTGTCGAGGAGATAATCGATATACCAAGAACCTTATCAGTCACGAATACTTGATTATTCCCAAAGTGCAGTTAACACAAAATCTGTTAATATTCGCCAGTTGGAATAAATTGTCTGAATAAATCATCTGATAGATATGTTTGTTATTGAACTGAAGTTCGTATTCAGTCCCTCTTTCTGAAGTTGACATAAAATGCAGTGTTTGAACGTTTTTTGATACCTGAGTTTAAGATATGCTTTTAAGATGTTTCATAACATACAGGGCTTTCCACCCCCTCCCCCTCCCCCCATACTTATCTCTTCAATGGGTCAAGTTAACAAGCCGAAATTGGAGGAGATGAATAGATTGGTGGGTCATATGACACTTTTGTTTTAAGCTCCTTGTCAGCGATTCTTAACCCTTGAAATAATATAATATCTTCCTAACTGGCTGACTAATGGGCTGAGAGTTAAACGTTTTTGTACATAAATCGCTTACAACTCAACAACTAATCATCAAAACGTTCTAGTATTTTATATTAATCTTTTTCTTTTGAAGAGTCTATCTAAATGTGCAATAAAATTCAGTAAAAAAATTATAGGTTTTAATATTTTATCTAAATGGAATGTTCCATATTTTATCACATATTCGGATAGACCCTTCCAAGAGAAGAATATTGAGAATATAACATACTGTAACATTTTGGTGATTCGTTGTAGAGTTATAAGCGATTCCTATGAAAACGCTCAGCCAATCAACTGTTTTGAAGGTAGTGATTTTATATTTGATAGCTATAAAGTATCTATTCATAGGTGGCTTGAAAATGCGGTATAACAAATGTTCACCCAGCCGTCATCTTGAAATGATCAGCTACCCCATAAACGCTAAAATATAGTATCCATGCATCAGTTCCTTTACCCTAAATGTCAGCTTGTCAACTTGACATGTAACAAACAAGTACGGGGAGAAATTTTTAAAAAGAGTGCTGTGTGTGTGTACAGTAGCAATGGTTCAGCCTTGATAAAGTAGTGCAGCTACGCTCATTGAAGCGTAGGTGCACTACGAGCAAAGAAATAGTAGAATTTACGTGCAAACTGAAAGCACTGATACTCCTTTGACCCACGAAACACTGAAGAGCGAGAGGTACTAGTTAGAGTAATCATCCAACCGTCCTGGGAATAACAATACATTGTTACGCGAGAATGAGAGAGAGTAGTACCACAAAGCATACACAAGAAGTACAGTTGTGTGCATCAGTGTATTCGACTGCATCCAGGTCTGTCGCATCTCCTCCCGTACTTGACTGCAGCACCCAAACTTACTCTACTTCATTTTATTCATAAAAAAAAAAGTTCCCGGGCGACAGGAAAGAATTTGTAGGAGAAGACATTTTTAAAACGCACTGTATATTGGTATATCGCTAAACACCTCATCATCAATTTACACTCAGACTGTATGGCTGGCTGTCGTCTGAGCGCGGTAAGTTGAAAGTACCATTCGTGCACTGAACCGATTATAATTTCAAGCCAATTAAAATATTTAATGAACGATGTGACAGCTAACAAGTTTTATTAGCTTAATTAAGCTGCAATTTCTAAAACAGTTTACTTGAATCTATGAAACTAGCTTAATTAAACTAAACCACAACCATTTAATTGAATTTAATAAACGGTTTACTTAGCTTAATTAGACCAATCTACTTAAAATTACTGAACCATTAAAATGAGTTTACCTGCCCCAAGTAAAACACTTTAATTATATTTATTTAATTTGTTCAATTAGTTAAAGTAAAAGTATTTGTGTAGTTTTAATTAATTATTAAATTATTAAAAGAACTAGTTTCAATTTACTGAATAAATTATAACTATGCTCTGACAAACATTAGATATCAAAAAACCGGAAAACTTAATATTGATAATTGATGTCTTCGAACCAAAATAAAAACTTCCAAATTTTATAGCCCTAACAAAAGTCGATATTTTTCATTTTCATTGATTGTGAACTTATTATGGGATCAAGTTTTACCAACTATTTGTTTTTTTGTCCAGAAACAGATTATAATATATCACCAATCACTAGAAGCAATACTTTGTTCTAATTCATTATGTAGGGAAAGAGATACCTGAAACTGAATGCGGCCTCTCAATTAAGTGTACAAAAATTGTACTTTTATTAGTAAGTAAGTCTACACCAACAGGAGCCTCCATTTCCTATATATGTACACTCGTACATCATACAATATAAAAGGAAAGCACTTCAAACTTATGCTAAGCACATGGTTTGGCAAACATGGCTGCATAAATCAAATTTAAAAATATTCTAACCATGGTTATTGGTCACTAAATGCCTTTTACTTGATCACCATCATTGATCCACTTCACAGCTAATCACCGACACCGGCAGCATTCGAAAATGAAGCTACTCGTGAAAATAACAAATGAAACTGAGGAGTTCGAAGCGCGTCACCGGCAGTGCGTCTGTCGCATACGCACGATCATTCACGATTCATTACAAATGGACAGCTTAACTGTTTTTATTAAAAAATTTATTTGTACTACGTAAACTGAATTACTCAAACTAGTTAAACAGTTTAATAAAACAGGTACATGGTTTGGTATTTTCAAGAAAATTAGCTTAATAGTATATAATTTCAATTCAAATTGATTCGAACAGATTCAGTTTTATTAACCTAAATAATTTAGTTAGGGTAATTAAAACATTTATTACGAGAAATAAGTATTTTCCAGAACTACTGTTTAATTGACCACGTCTTCTCAGTGTGGTTTGATCAAATGGTTACAAGAAGTTGCTACTATAGCAGGAATGAAAAAGCATATGAAAAGTGTCAGAACTTCGCTTTGGAATAGCCACAGGTGGTATATGAGTAATGGTTTTTATTTAATGTTTTTTTTTTGGACGAGGCTTATCTGCATTGATCCAGACTCTCTCAAAACACAGGAAAATTAGAGGTGTATTGGAACAGGTGTGGAACTTGCCGTTGGTAGGTTTCAAAAACGAGTTGTTTTTCAACATGGAAGACCAGCTGACCGATGAGATATTGATAGAAAAGAGCCAAGTGAGGTGGTCATTGATCTAAATCCTAAATCCTAACAGGTAACCCAACTTCTCCTCACTAGCTGCTGTGATTGGACTAGACGTGCTCACGTCAAATCATGTATTCAATGAATTGAATCTGCGGCAAAGCTTAGTCATCCATTAAAATCGGATGTCCGTTTAGATCCTTCTTATTAGTTAAGAAGAAGCATTAAATAATGTCCAGCTTTTTCGCCCGAGAGGAAGCAGCTCTTAGTCTGCTTAGTATATCTGCTAGAGTCCATGCATGTAAAGTGCTTTCATCATTCGCTAAGCTGTGTTTCGGATTTATCCTGTAAGGATCAGAAACAGTAATAACATGAAACAATTTTTATATATAATAGAACGAATCTACATGATTTCATCATTTATGTTGTCGTTGTAGAAATCAAAGACAGACAAAGGAGAGTAGAAACGGAGTAAATGGATTTGCATATTCCTCAAACAGTTTACCCGGGAAATTTCCTCATGTTAATATTGTGAATTGCATCCGAACAACACTGCAATTTTTCTGAAAGCCACGATGTGCACATACAACAATACAGCTAAAGCAACGGCACTCCGGACCACGTTGGAGCAAAACAAAATATGTACCTACCTTAGAGGAACGGATTCAGATGGTGATGAAGTATTCATGTGAACAGCATAAAAAACATTAAATGAGACTAACCTTGTACTTCCCATTTTCCAATTACGAAGAGATACACTGATTCTGAATTCCTTAAGTATTTTTCGAACTGTTACAAAACAACCTGATAGATGCTGACGGTAAGAAGGCATTTTTTTTCATAGTTGTAAGTACAAAGACAATAATTTTAGTTCTATTACTGGTATTCGAAACTTTGAGAATGGGGCTGCCAAATTCTTAAATATTTAGTTATCAGAAACTTAAAAAACAAACGAACAGGTTGATAAGTAGTTACATAGATTTTTGGTACATTGTAATCATCAGAAGACGTATTTCCTCAAATTATAAATTGCTATGCCCAATTTTAAAATGTCTAATTACGAGTATTGTCCTCGTTTCTGAATAGAATGTAGATTCAGGATAAATGAGATTAGCCCGGTAGGTATGATCCAGGATCGGAAAGTATGACGAATTTTGTGAGAACCTCAGACTTGGCTACCTAATATCTGTATTGAGACAACCTTAGATTTAACAGAAAGCAGCTTGTTCGGACTTCAGATCCAACAAAATGTCCTCTGTGAGACTTTCACGAGATTCTCAACAAATTGCAACGAAACTTGGTGAGGAAGGCTCAAACCGCCGGATAAATGTGTCCAGAAGCGACGTTCTTTTGCAAATATGAAAAAAAAAGTTTTTATTATTTATAAAAGGATGCTTTAAATAGAAATGAATACAAAAATGTAAGTAAATCCATTAGACGTTATTACTATTAATTAGTTTACTTTTTCCAAAAAGTTGGCCCATGAGGGGATCGAACCCGCGACCTTCGCGTTATTAGCACGACGCTCTAACCAACTGAGCTAATGGGCCGGTTGATAAGTGATTTCACGAACCACAATTATTCAGAATGCAGTCTTATACAATATTTCTTGATTTATATTCGGATTTGTATTAAGTATCTATTATAGTTTGAGAAATTAAACATATTTATCCGTTATAATGTTGCCAGTAATGTAAATAATACATTCCAAAACAAATCGATTAGGACAGGGCACAGTCCAACCTTGCTTCGATAGATGGCGCAGAACTACAAATTCCAATTTTGTACATTTTACCCTAATAAAATAACTGAATAATGGAGCAATAATATTTTTAAAGTGT